CTGCAGAGCCAGGTGGGTGACCCCACCTACTCGTGCCCCTGAGGCACACAGTGGGCCGCTGGGCCAGACTAGCCCTGTCCTGTGGCAGAGCCTCCTCGACCGCCTTCTCTGGAACAGAGCAGGGGCAGGGTAAAGGACCTCGGAGGATCCTCTAAGCGGTCTTCTTCTAAGTGTGGCTGGTGGGGCCTCTGCTTGGAGACTCAGGGAGCTCTTTGCAGACCAGCTGGTGAGGCCTGAGGGAAAACAGCTAACCCCAAGCTGGGAAGAAGGGTAATGCATCAGCGGGGCTGGTCCTGGGGAAAGGGGCCCAAGGATCGGAAGGATGTGTGAGGCTGAGAAGGTAGGTCCTGCTCCCTGGGGAAGCCTGTGACTCGGGAGGCTCAGACGCTACCGGATCCTAGGGCACCTGTGAGAATTGCCCTGTGGGGCAGGGCCAGTGGCCCTTAGGCTGCCCATCCTCAGACCCCGGAGTAGGAGGAGCAGGGCTGGACACAGTGCCCAGATTCCCCCATCTGTGCGCGGTGGAGCTGCAGACTGCTGCAGTACCCTGAGCCTCTGAAGGCTTCTCCAAGCCTCTGGATTTCAGAGACTTCGATGTTCCTGTCTCAGGCTGATGTACCTTTGCCCTGTGGCTTTTCTTTGGCGTGGCTGCCGTGGGAGCGTAGGCAGCCCTCAGTTTTATGTGCTGCAGCCCTTGCTCCCCATGCTAACTGGGTGGCTGACCACTCACGGCTTTCTGAAGGTTTGGGTCCCTATTGTGTGGTTGAGGGTAGACATCCTTTGCTCTTGTGGGTCAAGGTGAATGCTGAGATCTGTCTGCATGGATCTTTGGCCCCAGGAAGACGCCAGAGCAAGAGCACACGTGTCTGGGAAGCCCCTGATCCCAGCGCTGCCACCACAGTCCTTTTGGACCTGACCTGACTGCGGTTAGACGGTCCTGGGACGGGGGGCAGCACAGACCCGCCGCAGGCCGCTGAGGCTGCGTGCACATGTGTCTCCTGCAGGGGAAGCAGAAGTACACCCTGCCGCTGTACCACGCCATGATGGGTGGCAGTGAGGGGGCCCGGGCCCTCGCCAAGGAGACATTTGCGGCCACCGCCTCCCAGCTCCACAGCAATGTTGTCAGCTACGTCCAGCAGATCGTGGAGCCCAAGGACAGTTAGAGGCTCGCACGCACGGCTACAGGCTTTCAGAGTAATTGTGCCCCCATTCTGGCTCTCCAGTTAGCCTCCCAAAGTCTGCGTCCCTGGGATAATCTGTTCTCTGGGCTTGATGTCCGTGACCTGTGGGCCTCTGCCCTGGCAGGCGCTTCTCTGGCCTCTGGGTCCCGAGACCGGGACCTTCCGTGGCTCTCCCTGGTGTGGGCCGCTGGCTATGCAGCTGCCACCAGTCCTCTCCTTGTTCCTGCTGCGGTCCGGGGAAGAGAGAGGGGATTTCTTTTATTTTTCTTTTTTTGCTGATTCTGGAAGTACTATGCAAAGGGCTGCATTCTGATAATACTTTTTTCAGGCTTAATCTTTATTTTAATAAATATCTTTAAGTGAAAAGTATTTGAGTTGGAGTTATGGATTGAGTGACTGTGAAATTTCTTCTCCAGGTGTCCCCTCTGTGGGCAGGTGTTCTGAGAGGTCACTGGGGGAGACGCAGAGGATGAGTGTCTCCCTGTCCTTAGGGAACTCCCAGGCCAAAGGAGGGGTCCCACACAGGCTTATGAAAAAATACAGGGCAGCATGGCTGTAGCATGGCTGATGCAGGAGAAAGGTACAAATGAACCATGTTCCAGTTCCGTATGGAGGCAGCTAACTTCTCCATCTGCAGCCTCATTCCTGCTCATCTTCTCCATCGTTTAAACCAAATGTGCATTTTAGTGTCCTTTCTCTGTCCTTCTCACCATCCCTGGGGCCTCGCCTCTGACCCTGGACAACTGTTTTAATGATGTGGTAATAGAGTCTGTTCAGGACTTGGCACTAAGTTCTGATTTCCTGGTTTCAACGTGGGATCTAAGCAGTTAGCAACTTAGGTTTGGGGTGTAGGATGAGGGGAGGGTTGCAAAGAAGTATTTATTAAATGTATTGAAGTCACCTTTCCTAAACACAGGGTCCTCCTGGACCAGGCTCCACATGGCTCTGCCCTTGGCCTCGAGGTTCCCAGGACGGGCCTCCTCCCTTCCCTGCACAGAGAGTGGAGCCCTGTAGATGGATTCGCTCTCAGTCTCAGCAGAAGCCGGGCATAGTGGTGCCAGGGGCAGTGGGTGACGGCTTGGTCCTGGCACGCCCAGCGTCACCAGCAGAGCGAGCGCTTCGGGGCTCAGGAGAGGGCTTTGGAGGCCAGGATTCAGAGTCCCTCTGGGCCCTGGCATTTTGATAGCAAGCCGTTTCCGTAGTTCTTTTGGGGCTGTTCCTAGTCATCGGTGAGGACTATTTTAGGGCCATCCAGATGCCTTCCCCGCTCACACCCAGGGGCTGACTTTCCTTGTTCTGTACAAAGACCCACAGCATCCCTGAGCCCAGGAATAGTGCCGGTCACCGTGGAGGCAAAGGCCGGAGCGCTTCCTTTGAGCGCCGCCCTGACTCCACGACCTTGTGAGTCCTCACGTCTCGTGGTGCAGGGGTCCTGGGTAGTGTTGCCTGCCCTGCTCACCACCTTTCCACCCGACAAAGTCCTGCTGGGTGTGCCTGTCCTTTTATGGGCTGGGAGGCCATGCTCTTGCCATCCCCCACCCCGAAGATGAGGCTGTGCACTGTCTGGGCTAGCTCTGTGGGGACGGTCAATGGGCTGTTGCTCTCGGCAGGGTATTAGGAAGGCCCTGCTGCACAGCTCCTCTAATCCTCTGACCACTATTATGGAACCTTTCCCCCCCATCCAAGGCACTGACCTCAAAGCTCAGTCTCTCCCACCTAGCTTCTCTACCATCACTCACTCCAGAGCTATTGAAGGCAGTAATGCGTCCTTCTGCTGAAGGAGGTAGGTGCCAGCCTATAGGAACTCCTGATCTCAGCCCCGTTCCTCCTGTGAAGCCCTGTGAAGGCAAGGGAGCTGCTATCCTTTCTCATTGTTCCTCCACTCCCTTCTCATCCCCGCCCCCCAGAGCCTCAGCCTCGGGTGTTCTCCGGGGCCAGGGAGCATGTGAGCAGTCCCAGGGCTGAAGCCGGTTCTCCCACATTCCAGGGTGAGGACTGGGCAGAGGGTGTGCCCGCCTCAGGCTCCTTGGGGGAGGCCCCCTGAAGGGCCAACCGGGCTCTCTGCCACCCCTGGCCCAGTGGAGGGGGCTCTGGACCTTAACCCCTTCTCTTGGGCACCAGCAGATTCAGAGACAAGGAGGATGAGAAGCTGACTCCCTGAGATGAACTTCTTAGTCCTCGGGCTACAGAGTTGAAGAAGCAGGTGGCTCTGGCGGTGGGGTCACCTTCTGTTTGAGAAACCACTGCACCATCCGAGGCTGAGCTTGGCCACGGACCACCCAGAAAGAGGCGAGGAAGGAGAAACGCAGATCTGATGTCTTAGGTACAGAAGACACTAGGTCTGGAAGAGATCTTAGGGATTATTAAGTCCAAACAAGCTGTTTTTACAGATAGGGGACTCACACATCTCCCCCAAGACCACATAGTGGAGGGTCTCCTGCCTCCCCACCACCCTGTGCTGCCTTACGCAGGGTCTCCAGCGAGGTCAATCTGGGACCTGGTGCTTTGGGCTGAGTTCGGAGAGAAGACCACAGACATGAAGGACTCACTGCCCATGGGGAGCGCAAGGGCTCTGGCCATGGAGCCAACTGGGGGACCCTGAAGCCAGGAGACCCTGGTGGAAGGAAAGAGCTCCAGTGGGTGGGTTTAAATCTCAGCCCCACCACTTAACCAGCTCTGTGTGGCCTGGGTGGGTCATTCAGCCCCTCCTAGCAGCAATTTTCCTGTCTATACAGTGGGGGAGAACCACACATTCCTTACAGGGTCTTTGTGAGGATTAAATGGAGACAATGTTGAAAGTGCCTGGTCAACAGTGAATTCATATTAAGCCTTCCCTTTTCTTCTCTGACCACTAGAGGGTAGCAGGTCAGTACTAGTAAGCCGGGCGGATGAGCAGAGATAAGGTGGGAGACCAGATGAGGATAAACTTATGCATGTGGATTCTGGCACCTCCAGCAGCCAGGGGCAGAGAGGGCCCGTCAGGGGCCAGGGAAGTACTTTAGGCGGAGCCACGTCTCTCCAGAAATGGCTGCAGCAACCCTGAGGCTGATGGGGTCCCAGCAGGCAAAGAATATGCAAGACTTTGCCCACAAAGTGAATACCAGCAAGTGGGCCCTGCAGTGGGGACCCTGGGGCCCTGGGCTAGGCTGGTGGGCCGCCCCTCCCAGTAGCCCGTGAATGTTGTCCTGTCGAGAAAGCCTTCCTGCCTGAATCCTGGGCGTGGTGGGAAAAATCCCCACACCTCCGGATCTTCTCTCCCTACTAGGCCCCTTGGCCTCGGATCTCCAGACGGTTGGGGTCTAGCAGCCTTGGTGACCCAGTTCCGCCAGCAGTTCAGGGCCCCGCCCGCCCCTCCCCTCTCCAGCCCATCCCTGGCCTGGCCCCCTCGAGGAATTTCCTGAGCCAGAGGGTGGCCGAAAGTACAGATGCCCACCCTAGAGACTCTCCTGCCGCCTGCCCAGGCCAGTGCCCTGTGCCCAACCCCAGAGGGTGCGGGGTGACAGACTCTGACAATCATTAAACCAGCCGGGCCTGATTTCCCAGCACCGCCTGCTCGGATCCCGGCCAAGTGGCACAAAATATGCAAATCACCTGGGGCCAGGAGCCCATTCTAAAGGCCAGGAAATCCCCTCGTCCAATGAGCCGCCGGCTCAGGTGACGCGGGCCGTGCTATAAAGGCCCAGCCTGGGAGGCGCTCTGGCTGCCTGTATTTAGGGTGGTGGGGACGGGCCCGGTGCCCCAGCGCTACCTGGAGGAACTCTTTGCCTCGTGGATTTCTCGCCTGCCTGCTGTCCCTTAATCCCCCCTGCCTTCCTGCCACACCCGCACCCGCCACCCTGGTAGGCCGCCACCTGCCACCTTCCCAGCCTGGGCCTTGGGAAGTCAGGGAGGGGTCCAGTGGACTTGTAGCTCTAACCTGGCCGCAGCGGCTCCGGTGTACAGTCCCTGGGAGGAGTGTAGGGCAGTGGGAGTGTCCCTGGGAGGACAGAGTGACCATGACTGCCCGGCTCGCCCAAGGGCCCGGTGGGCTGAGGAGGGAGCCCAGCAGTCGGCCTCATGCCCCCCCCCCCCACCGGCTCTGCGGTCCTGGAGAGAAGGTGTCTGAGTAGATGTCGACCTTCGCGCCCTTGGGGCTGCTCCTGCTCTGGGCTTGGCTAGAGCAGGATGGCTGGAGGGGGAGGCCCTGGCCCTCACCAGCCTCACCGTCTCCCCAGGTCGCCCCATGGCCGCCACCTGTGAGATCAGCAACGTTTTCAGCAACTACTTCAGCACCATGTACAGCTCAGAGGACCCCGCGCTGGCCTCTGTGCCCCCCACGTCCACCTTTGGGGCCGATGACCTGGTGCTGACCCTGAGCAGCCCCCAGATGCCACTGGAGGCCACAGGTGGGTCCCAGCAGGGTGGGATGGGGTGTTTTGGGAAGGGGGAGACATCTATCTAAGAGCCCATTAGGTAAATGGGGGATCGGCCAGGGAGGAGGGCCTCCCGAGCAAATTCAGGGCCAGGGGCTGGGGTGACCTGTTAGAGGCAGAGGTGTCGGGGGTGTGGAGGCTGGATGGGCTGGGTGAGGTGTTGAGACTACCACCTCCTGCCCCTACACCTGGGGGGCTTCTCTGAGAGGTGAGGTGGGACGCACACAGAATCCCAACTGGGCGCCAGAAGGGGGCTGAGAGGGTCTACCGGTGGCCCGAGCTGACCCGTCGCTGTCCTGGCCCCTTGTAGAGAAGGCCAGCTGGTCGGGGGAGCAGCCGCAGTTGTGGTCAAAGGCCCAGGTTCTCGATTGGATCAGCTACCAGGTGGAGAAGAACAAGTACGACGCGAGCTCCATCGACTTCTCGCGGTGCGACATGGACGGGGCCACGCTCTGCAGCTGCGCCCCCGAGGAGCTGCGTCTGGTCTTTGGACCTCTGGGGGACCAGCTCTATTCCCAGCTGTGGGACCTCAGTGAGTCCAGGGCACTGGAGGGGAGATATGCCTTCTGCCGTCTCCTTCGCGGTCAGGGAGGCTACTCTAGGGGTCGGCCCATATCCCCAGCCGAGGTCAGCATGGCCGTGGAAAGGACCTGGAGTCCCAGGCTTGTGGACACAGCCAGGGAGAGAGCCCCAGAGGGGTGAGGGTGGGACACTGGCCTGGGCTCTGACCCTCCTTCCCTCCTTCTCAGCAGCCTCCAGCTTTCCTGACGAGCTCAGCTGGATCATTGAGCTGCTGGAGAAGGACAGCACGACCTTCCAGGAGACCCTGGGAGACCCCGGCCCCTTCGGTGAGAACCCGTTTTCTCGCTCCTTTCCCAGCCTGTCCTGTCCTGTCTCCACCCCTCCCTCCCCAGACTTCTGTGCCCCCAGCCGGAAAAACCAGCAGGTCATCACACCTCTGGGTAGCCTTACCTGTCCCTGCCGTCCTCCGACCCCTGTCTGAACTCTCACCTCCTCTTTCAGACCAGGGGAGCCCCTTCCGCCAGGAGATGCTAGATGACTGCCCACAGGCCAGCCCCTACTACCCGGGCAGCTGTGGGGCAGGAGCCCCCTCCCCGGGCAGCTCTGACGTCTCCACCACAGGTGAGCGCCTCCGTCATAGCCTCCCTTTCCCCTAAATGCCCCCGAGCCCTCGGCTCCTAGCAGTAGAACCCAGGCTTTCTGGGAGGAACAGGAGCCAGCCGGGCAGGCAGTGCCTCCAACAGAGGGTAGTGGCTGGAGAGGGACTCACACTGACCCTGCCTCCCCTAGGGACAGGAGCTTCTCAGAGCTCCCACTCCTCAGACTCCGGTGGAAGTGACGTGGACCTGGATCCCACTGACAGCAAGCTCTTCTCCAGCGGTGAGTGGGGAGCTCTGGTCCCCAGGAGTGTCCCCTTGGGCGGTGCCCTGGCCGGCCCTTCCCCTCGTCCCGCTCTCCTGCAGGGCTTTCCTGTGGAGGGGCTGCCCTCTCGTGCCCCCACCCCTCCCTCTCCTGACCTCCCACCTCCCTCCCTAGACCCCTTTCCTGACTATAAGAAGGGGGATCCTAAGCACGGGAAGCGGAAACGGGGCCGGCCCCGAAAGCTGAGCAAGGACTCCCGGGAGTGTCTGGAGGGGAAGAAGAGCAAGCACGGTGAGCTCCCGCCCGGGCAGGGCGTGGGAGGGCCTCGGCCTGCAGGGCTCCTTCTCCTGTGCTGGCTGGCTTTCCACGGCTCCTCCTTCTTTCTCACGGCTGTGCCCGGGCCAGGGCTGGGTGGTGCTGGTCACCACCGAGGGGAAATTGAGGCTCCTGTGGGAAGGCCCACAGGGCTGAGTCCAGGTGTCCTGCCACCCCATCCAGCTCTCCACACTTGCCCGCATCCTGCCCACCGGGACAGCCTCAGTGGTGGGAGGAGGCAGCTGGTGGGTGCTGGGGCCCAGAGAGCCTTGGGCCGTGGGCCTTGGACCTGGGGCGTGCGCCAGCCACTGCAGACCCCTGAGCGAGAGCCCCAACATGCTTCCGCACACGCAGTCCCCCGCACACACGGTCTGGCTGCTTCCTTCTCATGTCAGGGAGTATTTTCTCCAGGACGCTGTCCCCTAGGCTGGGGTGCACTCTGTGGTCCTGTGCTTGCCAAGTTCTCCCCACCCGCTGGGGTGTTTGCTTTTTCACCGTGGCCCCCGCGAAACCGGGAGCTCCTCGAGGCGGCGGTGCGTCTCAGGCGCTCTCATATCCCAGCCTGACATTCGATCACTATTTGAGCCAGTAAAACATCGGTATTGTGTGAGATCCCATCCTCTTGGAGCTCCCGTCCAGCGGGCAGGCGAGGAGGGACGCAGCCATTCCAGCACGCGGCCATGAGCGGGCAGAGTGCTGGGACGGGAGGGCAGCTGGCCCTGGTTGGGGGGGGACCCGGGACCGCTGGCTGATGGAAGTGGCCCTGCAGCCCCCAGAGGCACCCACCTGTGGGAGTTTATCCGGGACATCCTCATCCACCCGGAGCTCAACGAGGGCCTCATGAAGTGGGAGAACCGGCGAGAGGGCGTCTTCAAGTTCCTGCGCTCCGAGGCCGTGGCCCAGCTGTGGGGCCAGAAGAAGAGGAACAGCAGCATGACTTACGAGAAGCTGAGCAGGGCCATGAGGTGAGCCGGCGCCGGGCCCGGGGACCACAGCCTCCCTCTGACCTGCCTGCCGCCTCCTCCGGTTCTGAGGCTGGCGGCGCGAGGGCACCAGCCTGGGTTAAATGAGACAGAGAGCACGGAGGCTGGCCGTGGTGCACGAGTCACCTTCTCTACCACCTGCGTCTCTGTGTGGTCTGCGGCCTGTGCTAAGGGAGTGGGAGGAGCATCAGCGGAGGCCACCCCGAGGCCAGCTTCTCCCGTGGGGGAGTGTTAAGTTGCTTGTCTCTGGGCCTCAGTTTCTCCCTACGTACACACAACAAGGGTGAACTGGATCCCTGTGAAGGTCTCTCCCAGCCCTAAAGTCACGTGGTCTTGTGAAAACCACAGGGCACAGCCAGCCACAGACATGAAGGAGCAAGGGCAGAACCAGGTCCTCTGGACCCACGTCTAGGCCGCGGTGCGTGGTGGAGCCAGACAGCTCCTCCCCAGGGCTGGGAAGAAGAGGGAAGATTCCGAAAGTGGGTCAGGCTCGGGTTAGCCGGGCTGGAGCCCAGTGGGGCCGGGTCACCTGAGGAAACTGGCCTTGGAAAGGTGGTGTCCAGGGCGCCCCCTGCCTGAGTGCCTCTGACCGCCCTTCCCCCCAGGTACTACTACAAGCGGGAGATCCTGGAGCGCGTGGACGGCCGGCGGCTCGTCTACAAGTTTGGCAAGAACTCCAGTGGCTGGAAGGAGGAAGAGGTCGTCGCGAGTAGGAACTGAGGGTCCCACCAGAGCCGGAACCGCACGCAAGGACTCGAAGCCTGAAGCCCCTCCAGGGAGGACCCCGGGCCTCCGCTGTCGGGCACGCTCGCCGCTGCACTGAGGAGAGGAGACGAGGCTCTGGGACACTGACAGCCGTCGTCTGGATTGGGGCCTGTGGCCTGTCCTCTCTGCCCTCCTCGTGGAATTACAAGCCCTGCGTTTGAAGGACTTTGCTGACTACATGCTGAATGCAGCTCCTCTCAGGCCCAACCCAGACTCCGCTGCGGGCACCTTCCTCCTGCAGACGCCTGGACTGAGCCAAGGAGGCCGGGGAGGCTGCAGGGGCGCCGCAAGAGGGGCAGGACAGGCCCCACGCCCTCTCTGGACTGGCTCCCGCCCCCTACTCAGTGCTTGGACTCCGCAGGCGGGGGTCAGCGCACTCCCTAATTTATGTGCTATAAATACGTCAGATGTACATAGAGATCTATTTTTTCTAAGACATTTCCCTCCCCACTCCTCTCCCACTGAGCGCTGGTGGCCAGACCGACTGTTTGAGGCTCTTGCTGGGCCAGTGAGGGGCGGGGTGATGCTAGGACCCTCAGGCTGGGCTCCTGGCTCCTTTCTCTGGGAATGGAGGCAGAGACCTCCAATAAAGTGCCATCTGGGCTTTTTCTAACCCTGTCTCAGCTACCTGTGCACTGAGATTTGGGCCTCTGGATGGGAGAAGGTCTCGTGTTGGTGGCAGGGAACAGGGCAGGGGGAGTACGGGGCTGGAGGTGAAGGCAAGGCAGGCAGGGGGAGGCCTGGACCTCTGAGCAGGAGGGGCGGGTTCGCAGACAGGCCTGCTGGGGGCTGGGAGGAGAGCAGAGGGAACAGGTGAGGCTGCTCACGACGGAGAACGCGTCGCGACTTCGTGCCAGCGAGGACATGAGCGTGGCAAGCCGAGCTAGGGCCGTCTGCCGCTGCCACACAGCCACTCGGTGACCGTGGCCAAGTCGGAACTCTCGCTGTGAGGCTGGGTTTGGACCTGATGTTCTCTAAGAAGTCTAGAAGCTCATCCCAGCCAAGCTGGCTGTCAGCTGAGAGTCTGTAATATGAATCTTAGCTTTCATTGTCTAACATGAGATCAGAAGTATGATCTTGTGGAGGAAAAACCAACAACACCGAAACAAGTCCTTGAGAAAGAGTTGGGGGTGGAACAGACATGTAGCACCTAGACTGTACCGGGTGTGGCCACTCCACTCACTTGATCCCAAGGAGAGAGAGAGACTTGTGCCCATTTTACAGATGCAGAAAGTGAGGTTCATTCAGGCCAGTGGCTCCATCCAGGTTGCTCAGGCTGTACCCTGAGGCTGTCCTGCAGCCTCCCTGGTGGCTTCACCAGAGTTCGGGCTCTTGTGACCGAATCCTCGGCAGATGCCAGGACTGCATCCTGTCTCCACAGTGATGGTTCATCTAGGTTTTAGGGAGGATATTTTGCTGATGGGAGCTGTATGCCAGGTTCCTTATGAAGAATACCTTCCAGTGGAAAGTTCCTTGCGTTTGAGGCTTCAAATTCCATGGAGCACAGTTAAAAGCCCATTTTGTAAGTTTGACATGCTACTTAGTTGTCTTGGAAATGTGGGGTTATATGCTTAAGGGATGTGGGTAAGGAAAGGATCTTAGAAAAAACAGGTGTGCATGTGTGTGTGTGTGCAAGCATGTGTGTGTGTGCATGCGTGTGTGCATGTGTGTGTGTGTGGAAGTGGGGCTTGCTCTAGAGAGGCAAGACATAGTGGAAAGGAGAGTGGGGAGTGAGTTGGAGAGAGCAGTGGGGTCAAGAAAGAACCCAGAATCTTTGGGAGCCATCCCGGCAGAAGCTTCCTCCTGAAGGGGAGCACGTGGTGAGGAGGGAAGGGCACAGAGCCGCCCCACGCTGGCCTGGCCCCATCAGCTGGGGCTCCTTCGGCAGCTTAGCCTCATGGTAGCCCCATTTCTTGAGCATTCCCGCGAGCTCAGCACCCATGGTTCTTGGGGAACCTCACTCCTGTAGAGAGGCCAGCCTTGCTCCTAACGTCACACGGCCACAGAGCAGAGGAGCAGCCCTGGGAGCCCGGCGGGCATGCTCGCTCTCCTCCAGCCCCAGCCTCTCAGGCTCTGAGAAGGGACACCAGCAGTGACACACACTGGAGGGCCCGCAGAGGCAGAGCGGGGACCATGGGGCCAGCCCTTCATGCTCTGCCAAGGGCCAGGAGGCAGCTGCTCGCCGGCACGACACTCTGACCTTTGTCCCGACATTTTCATTTACAAGGTGCTTTCCTCATCGCATTATCTTGTTTGATCCGCACCACAGCCCTTAGAGGAGAGTGGGCGTCTCCATATCCCTGAGGAGGCCAGTGCTGGTCCAAGGTCACGGGTCAGGAGACCCCGGCCTCCAGGTGGGAGCCCCGGGGGCAGTGCCCCATGCTGGCTCTGCGAGAGGGACTGAGGAGACCCCTGAGCAGCCCTGGAGAGGGGCAGGCACAGAGGGATCCTCTGCTGGCCCCGAAGGACACTTCTCTTCCTCGGGATGTCTCTTGCCCACACGTTGCTTTCCACTCACCTCCCCCTTCAGGACACCTCAGAGCCAGGCACAGACCCCTAGGCTGGCCTTTCTCATCCCCCGTTGTGCGCTCTGTTGGGTGTCAGCTCTCCCATACCCCCCATTCCCATAGGCTGAGCCACTGGAGCTCCCGGACAGACTCCCCCCGAAGACGGGCCCCTTCTCGCCCAGGGCGGGGGGTGGGGGGTTCCTTTCCTTGGGTGTGGCCAGGCTGTTTGGATCCTGCCTGGAGCTGCTGGTCACCTCTTATCTGCTTCTGTGGGATCGTGTGCTCCTGGGTAGGTCAGAGGGAGGTCACCCCCGCCTGCCGGGTTTGGGTGTGCCTGCGGGGCTGGGCTGCGGTTCCCGGATTCTCCACAGCCTGCCCTCCTCCCAGGGCAGGGGACTGGGGCTTCACCCACCACTGGTGAAGCGGGGACTCGGTGGTGATTTTATTCAGGGGTCTAGTCCATCTGACCATCCCTCCGTCTTCGCACTGCGTGTCTCCCTGTGGGCTGTAGGCTCCTCGGGCAAGGAGGGCTTATCCATCTTGGAGAAGGAGCCCGATCAATATTTGTTAAACTGCCCTGTGACTCTCCCCGCCCAGCCTCCGCCTGCCCTATGCACACACTGACACGCATGCTGTGTTCTCACACGCTCTCACAAACCCTCACCCACATGCACTTGCAGGCACCGGCGTACGCCACACACACACAGACTCACACACTGGCATAGACTCCACACTCACACCCCATACACATTCTCACACACCAGTCTCACAGCCACACCAATCAGACACACTCACACACACATCACACACTGCTCGCACACACAACCTAACCCCCTCCCCCCCTCGCAGTGGATTAAGCCCCAGGACCACCTGCTCCAGCCCTTGTTTGCACTGCTGGTCTCCCACCTCGGGTCCCTGACCCCTCTTTGAAGCGTTTCCTGACTCCCATCTGCCCTGCCTCCCCACCAGGCGGGCTCAGGCCCTCCCTCAGTCAGGACCAGCTGCACAATTTGCAGAGCCCAGTGCGAAATGAGAACTTGGGCCCTTGTTAAAAATTATTAAAAATTCTAGAGCATTAAACCAAGTACGGGGCCCTTCCAAGCGTGGTTCTCCGAATGACTGCCCAGGCTGCACACCCATGAGGGCAGCCCTGTGGCCCCCCGGCCCCACGGGCCCTGCAGAGCGCTGTTCAACTGCGTGCTGTGCCGTCCCCTCCAGGTACGTCTGCAGCAATTGTACAAACAGGAGCAAGTTGCTAGCACTTTAAAATCAGGAAAATTTTCACAGAATGACTTGAATTTCTGGTTTCTCTTAAGAATCAGAAGGTCCGGCAGAACTGAGCCAGCTCTCCCGTGGCCCTGGACCTGGAGAAGCGGAAGTGTACCATTCCCTACACAGTCTCGGGTTCCCCAACATCGCCACCACACCGCACCTGTGTGGCCCCGAGGGCTGGATTTTCAACCCCAGGTTGGAGACGTCTTCGTCTGCCCCCCCCCACCTACGGTTCCCAGACTGGAAGCCTGGCAAGATGATGGCTTGTTGAGGATGTCAATAAGTAAATAGATGACGGCGGGGGGAGTCACGCTAATGAGAATGGAAACCCAGCCAGCACCTTCTGCTGTAAGGGCCTGGGATGGGGACGAGAGCCCCCGATACTTACTAGGAAGTACCCAATTCTCTCACCTCCAAGACGATTTCCAGCCCAGTTTGGTGCATGGCATTTACCGGGCACTCATGCACACTGGACTATTGGGGAATGACCTTCTGGGCTGGGCATGGCTGCTTAACTCAGAGTGCCCACAGAGGCCGCCGCTGCCCAGAAGCCTCGTCCCAGCCAGGGGCCTCTCTCCCTACTGAGGGAGAAGGAGAGTTGGCAGAACCTCATTCATCTGTGCAACAGCTCTTCAAGCATTTCGTCCCTTAACCCCTCTCTTTTCAGGGAGAACAGTGCCCTGAATGAGTCCCTACGACATGACCATCTACCAATGGTTTGTAGAATAGAGCACCAGATCCAGGTGAATAAGCCCCATTTTACAGGGGAAGAAACTGAGCTCAGAGAAGGAAGGTGACTTTCTCTAAGTCACACAGCCTGCCGGTGCAGAAGCTGAGCTCAGTGTGGACGGCTAGCCCCTTAGCAAGCACCTCCTAGGTACCAAGTTAGTGCTTCACATGCATCACTTACGCTTTAGGGAGCGTGCCTGGCTCCATGCTGAGGGAGAGGACCCGGTAGGGGAGAGGTCACCCAGGGATTGCAGCAAGCCTAGGCTGGAGCCTAAGAAATTCCTAAGATGTCTACATAACCTCCCAACAAGTCTCAGGGTAGGATGAGCCCCTCATTTCAGAGACTAGGAAACAGGCTTTTGAGAGGTGAATAACAGCTCGTGTTTTCAGAGGTGGTAAGTTTAGGAAACAGGACTAAAACCCTGGTTTCCTGACCGTTTCCTCAACCCCACAACTGACTCTGCTCTGAGAGGTGCTGGGCAACGCAAACCTTGCCCTGATGCACAGGTGCCTGAAATCCCACCACTGGATATGCATCTGGGAAGTGCTCTCAGGACACACAGATGGCCTGGGGTGGGGTAGAGGCAATCAGAGTGCTTTTCAGGGGCTCCTTGATGCTGCAGAAGAGATGGGAGTGCGGTTCCTGAGATCCTCATGGTGGCCCTC